CCTAGAAATGATCTGATATCCACCTGAGGTGTTTTCTAGGCCAACTTTACATGGTGACCTAACTTTCGCAAGTCGAGTTTTCCAGGCCACCATGGTGAATGACCTAGAAATGATATGATATCCACCTGGGGTGTTTTCAGGTCATTTTACCATGGGGGCCTAGAAATATCAACTTGCAAAAGTTAGGCCACCATGTTAAAATGGCCTAGAAATGCCCTGATATTCCCCTGGTGTGTTTTCTAGGCCAACTTTACATGATGGCCTAACTTTCGCAAGTCGAGTTTTTCTCGTCCCTCTTCAAAGAACGTCCAAAAACTCACTCATAATATTCTCTGGGCGGTGTTCCGTACCACGAATCCATTTCCGTCCATTTTCGAATCATCGTCTGCGTGCTGAGTGATGTGTGAAGAATACGGTTTTTGATGGAGATGCTATCCGCCGGCGAGTGAAGCGTTTGATCATCCAAAAGTGTCATTTCGGGAATCGGACGAAGTGGAAGAAGGAGGACACCGTCGTTTAGTGTGGATCTGGAAGAGAAGCAGTTGCTTGTGGCCTAGAAAAATTGAGAAAATTAGGCCATCATGGTAAAATGGCCTAACTTTCGCGAGTCGAGATTTTTAGGCCACCAACTTTTAAGACGTAGAAATCGCCTGATGTGGTTTCTAGGCGATTTTAACACGGTGGTCTAACTTTTGCAAGCTGACTTTTCTAGGCCACCATTCTAAAATGGCCTAAAAATGGCTTGATATTCACCAAATTTGTTTTCTAGGCCATTCATCATGTTGGCCTAGGAAACTAACGTTGAGAAAATTAGGCCACCATAGTAAAGCTGGCCTGAAAATGACCTGATTTTTATCTGAAGTTTTTTCTAGGCCATGAAGCTTGGTGGCCTAATAAACGGAAACAGGAAAAGTTAGGTCATCATGGTAAAATGGCCTGATATTCACCAGGTGTGTTTTCCAGGTCATTTTAACATGGTGGCCTAGAAAAATCATATTGCAAAAGTTAGTCCACTATGTTAAAATGACCTAGGAACGCCTGATGTAGTGGCCTAGAAAAAGTAAAAGTTAGGCCACTATGGTAAACCCGCTCCCACCTCTTCTCCTGACTCTGCATCTGTCCTACCACTGCACTCCTCTCTCCACCTTGACTTCCACTCCCATTTCCAGTGGCACCCGTGTCTCCGCCCCCACCGACTCCGCCCCCTTTCTTCCCAGCCACGCCCCCATCCGTTTCATCATCATCATCCTTTCGTTTTCCCTCGAATTTCGGTGTGCATTTCGTTGATAACATTGTCAGTCTCCGCCCATCATCATCATCCGATGCATCCGATGAGCTACACGAAGTGCTTCGTTTCGTCCTAGCTATAAATCTCTGATGCGGATCGTATCGTCTCAGAATATCCGGCGAAACGATTGCCTGTCGTGGACGTATCGATCTGACGGCACTGTAGGTGTTCGGTGTGCATTGTGTGAATTGAGCTGATTGGGTTACTGTAGGTGTTGATGAGGACGTCGTGCCTCCTTTTGTGACGAATGGCGTTGAGAGGAGAGAGGCGGCCGAGGATTTGGAGGCATGGACTGAGGAGTGGTGTCGGCTGGGCAAGTGGACCAGGCCAGTTGATGCTGAGCTGGAAATTATCGATTGTGGGTGGAAAGCTTCCAAATTCCAAAATTCGAAAAATTTGCAATTTTTATATTTAGTGGAGTGGGCGGAGCTTGCGAATTTTCTTAATTCAAAAAATACAAAAATCCATAACTCCAAAAAATTCAGAAAATCTAAAAATTGAGGGGAGAAGGCGGAGCTTGTCAATTTTAGAAAATTTGAAAACTCAAAAAATCTGAAATTCGAAAATTCAAAAATGCAGAAATCAAAAAATTTAAGAAATTCCAAAAATCCAAAAAATTCAGAAATTCAAAAAACCTGAAATTCGGAAATTCAGAATTTTCAAAATCGGTAATTTTTAATTTGTGGGCGGAGCTTGTGAATTTTAGAAATTCAGAAATTTTAAAAAAATCTGAAATTCTGAAAATTCAAAAAATTCCAAATTTTCAAAAATCGGCAATTTTCAAATTTAGTGGAGTGGGCGGAGCTTGTGAATTTCAGAAATTCAGAAATTTCAAAAAATCTGAAATTCGGAAATTCAAAGAATTCAAAAAAAATCAGAAATTCAGAAGTTTAGAAATTTCAAAAATCGACAATTTTAATTTGATTGGGGTGTGGGCGGAGCTTGATTTTCGGTCGATTTCGGACCATTTTCAGCCCTTTTTCCATCATTTTTCGGACCATTTTCAGCCAATTTCAGTGCCTAAAAGTGGGCGTAGCATCTTCTTCTTCTTACCGATTCGCCCGTCCTCCTCGATCATCCAGCGTTCGGAGATGACGGCTAGACGTCGACTGGAACACCTCAGATCCGTCTTCGGTCTGAAAATTGGTGTTTTTTTAATCAATTTTTGCGATTTTTATAGGCTAAACAATCGATTTTCAGCCAGATTTTTTGTCTGAAAAATGAATTTTTCGCCAAAAAAAAACAGCCCTCACCTCTTCACAAATTCCCAACAAATGTGGTGATGAGGAGAGCTTTCGCATTCCACTATTCGTCACACTGGCCGACGACACTTTCAGACGGGACATTGACGAGATTGTCGACATTGCTGCAAAATTTCAGAATTTCAGGTCATTTTGGGACATCTTTTTAGGTGGTCTTAGTCTCGAATTTAGGGCTCCGCGTCACTTCGAACTATGTGACAC